GATTATGTACATGCATGATATTACTGATCAAATGGACAAATAAAAACCCATCAAACAGTGGTCAGCTAATTGTTTTTTTCTATCTATATCTTACATAATAAGTCAATAACAACAGGTAGGTTAAATACAAAAATACCAAGGGGCCCCCTGTTGTGGAAAAGTATATAAATGAATCCCTCCCTAGGGCCATTAATTTTCTCTATTTGGAAACGCGAATGAAGTCTTGTTGGAGATTTCATGATTTGTGTTATTATTGGGAGTTGTCCTTTTCAGAGGCCATGCTCATGCCCATGATATTTCGACAAATGGATAATTTGTCCATACTCATGCCCATGCTATTCTTCAAATCTTGAGAGACTATGGTGTACTTAATGCCAGCTAGTGAATCTGGAAAAATCTTCAATCTTTTCTCTAAAAATATTTTTGAAGTCCTGAAAAATGATATCTGCTGTGTGTTGAATGGAATTGGTAGTGTTAATACTTCCTAATACCTTGGGTTCTCCCCAGGTATAGGAAGATCCAAAAAAGACATTTTTCAATTTGTCTTAGAGTATGTTTTAAGCAAAATGATGGTGAAAAAACTGTTGTTTGAGTGAGGCAGGAAGGAAAACTCTGATTAAATATTTTCTGGAAGCACTCCCTACTTATGTCATGTCTTGTTTTAGGATCCCAACTTTTGTCTGTAATAACATTTGCAAGGAGATTGCTAATTTCTGGTGGGGAGCCTCTGAGGCTGGGAAAAATAAAGTTCATTGGTGTGGGTAAGAGTTATTGTCTAGACCTAAAGAGGATGTTGAACGGGGTCTAGAAATTTCAAGGTTTTCAATAAAACTCTACTAGCCAAACAGCTATGGAGAATCATCACAAAACCTAACTTACTAGTGTGTAGAGAAATATTTTTGGAGGCAAAAACTCTTTGAGGTCAAAGCCAAGAATTGGGATTCTTGGCTTTGGAAAAGGTGGTTAAAAGCTAGAAATTCCTTGAAACTGGGGGTCAGATATCAAGTTGGGAATGGAAATTGTATACATGTTTGGGATTCCTTGGCTCCCAAAAGTTAAGGGTTTCCTCCCTAGCTTACAATTTGAGGGTGGCAGGTTGAGATTTAAAAAAGTGATGACCTCTTTCTGGAAAATAAACAAGTGCAGGATGTAGAACTGGTGTATCTAACTTTTTGTCCTGAAGAGGCTGATCAAATACTGAAAATACCTATAAGCCATGCAGGAAATCAAGACAAACTAGTTTGGCGCTGGAACTCCAAAAGGCTCTTCACAGTAAAGGAAGTGTACAAGTTTCTCCTCAATCACTATATGCAGCATCACATTGCAGTAGGCTCAAGCTCAAGAACAACAAAATGGAAATTATCTGGAGAAAGACATAGAAGCTCCATGCTACAAGGTGTGTTCATGTGTGATTTTACACCATAATTATTGAGTATCTAGAGCTTAGTCATTGCATTATTGGTGTATAAATTGCATATTTGTGCTTTAATTCTCTATTTGTTAGAAAGGTATTACACGTGCTTGTTTTGTAGATAGTTTCACATATTTGTAGCGCTCGTGGCTATTGGAGGCGCATGGTGAGTACCTAGGACCCCCGGGATGATGATAGATTGATGCACGGATGAGAAAAATGGAAGAAACGAGTGAAACGGACAAAAACGAGCAAGCAAGATTGTGACACGGGTAGTGACACGGGCACCATGCCCGTGTCAGAGGCCGTGTCACCTCAACAGAGACAATTCGAAGCCCAGGGACCTGACACGGGCTGCGACACGGACCGTGACACGGGCAGAATGGCCGTGTCGCGCGCGCAGGCTGTTTTTTATATCTTACCTATTTTGAAAAGGAGAAGGATTTTGGACATTGTAAAAGGCATATTTACCCTATTTTGAGAGGAAGAACGTGAATACACATTAGAGAGGCCCTAGAACACACAAGGGAAGCAATTGGGAAGCAAAAGAAGATCAACCACAAAGGGATCAAGAAGATTGAAAAATCGACGAAATTCCTAGTTTTTCTTTCTTCTTTCCTTTTGAACTTTTATTGATTATGTCGACTTCTAATATGTCTATGTATTTGAATTCGAACATGATTGGCTAATTTATTTGATTCTAGGACTTGGTAGTAGATTAATATGTTGGGATTTTGGATGAATTATTATAATTGATTGTTTTTCTTTTGAACCCTATTCAAATATTTTGTTCTTGTTTCATGTTTAGCACTTGATCAATGCTTTTACATGTTTGACAATATTGTTCATAATTCGAGAGATGAGTTCAATATTAGGTCTTTAATATTTGACACAATTTACTTGCTTGAATCGAGAGATTAGTAGGTCGTTGTGAGGATATTAGATCCTTTAATTTATTTGGAGTTGAATTGCATGTGTTGAGTGGAGACGCTAATATATGTGATTTAATCTACGGTTTTATCGATCTCGAGAGGGACGATAAGCTAAATTTGTGATCATCTTATAGGGTAAATAAAGAAAACATTAGTTGTGATATTTCTGAAGGAACCCAACTATTAATTGAAACCAAAGTCTTAGAATCTATCATTCTCATATATTTTCTTACGTATTTTTTCTAGCTAGTTTCTCATTGTTGCTTTATTTTCCTTTGATTATATTTTCTTAGTTTAGTTAATCCATCTCATATTCGGTCGTCTAATAAAGTTGACACTATCATAATCTTGTACTTGATATATTAATTATTTGGTCTTTTGGGATACGACCTTGCTTGCCACATACTACGAGCGAAGCCGTACACTTGCGGTTGAGCCTTAAAAATATAGGCGAACAAGGTGCTAGTATGAATTCTTGAACACTAACTCTCAACTAAATCATAGAAAAGTCCAAGTAAATGTTATCTGCTCTGTATGTGGAGAGGAGATAGAAGATCTTGAACATATCTTTTTCAGATGTAGTAGAGTTATGAACTGCTGGAAACTGAGTGGAATGCAATGGGCTCATTTGGACAGATCCAGCTGGTCTTTTAAAGATTGGTGGGAAGATTTATGTGTTGGGAAGTGGGGTGGTTGTTTCCAAGATAGAATAAACCTCTCAACCTACCTTTTGTTGTGGTTATGGAGAACTAGGAACTCTTGGTTCTTCAATAAAACCAGGAATATTGATAGAGATGTGGTGGATGGTGCCTGGAAAGAGTGGAGAGAAAATGAGGAGCTATATGTTGAGAACAAGGCAGGGGTGAGGAGGGTGGAAGCTGTCAACTTGAGGGAGTCTTTTAGCTCTAGAAAGAAGAGTAGGACAAGTAGTAGTTAATGTCAGTGCTTCTTTATTTCCATATGGGTTTGGGGGTCTTGTGGAATCTGATGGAGTTGTTCAAAATAGATGGAAAAATTGTTCTGAAAAAGCTGAGAGCTCTGAGGAGGCAAATCTGAAAGCTTCTAGATGGGCGTTGAATAAGCTGCAAGAGACAGGGTCGTCAGCTTCAGTTTGTTGTTGTGTTGACACTCCTCATATTGCCACAATGCTAAATGATAACAGAAGGGACGATTGTGTTGTAATGTCTATTGTAGCTGATATCCGAGTGTTAGTGAACTCCTTTGAGTATTGTTATTTTTTCTTTTATAAACTTGCTTGTTCTAGTTCTTTTTCTTTATCCTTGGAGGCTTTCCAGAGAGACTAGTGTGGTCATCTCGTTGCTTGTAGGAGCCCTTTTTGTGGGGGTGGCTAGTTGGCTTGCATTCATTTGGATGCACGGTGTTTGAACTTCTTTGTTTGAGTTTTAAATACTGGTGTATTTGATGTGGAAAAAAAATGACAAATAGATAATTTATTTTTTTGTTGAGGGTTCTGATTTTCAATGGGATAAAGTGAGTATTGGAGAAAAAAATGGTTTGTGATTCTTCAACATAAATTGGATTTTGCATTTAAATGATATACGAGAATTGTATAAAACTTGAGAAAAACAATTGGTCACTGATAATTGTTTAATTAATTTTCTAAAACTTGAGAATGGTATAAAACTTGAGAAAATTATTGGTCGCTAATATTTGTTTAATTAATCTTCTAAACCTTGAGAAATATTTATTTTTCGTATATTATATTTTTATTATTTTAAGTGATCATATTTAAACTATAAATTAATTAACTTTTGTTCATCCCTGAAATATGTAGTGCAGGGAAGAATAAAACGCAAAACAAAAACTACACACCACACCAACACACAGCACTTGACCACTAGTATAGCTAGAATAACACTCTCCCCACCCAACTACAGGCAAGACAATTCACAACCCACTAAGAACCCGTCACTTGAAGATGAATGCACTCGAGGAAAGAAACTCGGACCAAGAACAAATTCAGAATCTCCAGAACACCAACTGAATCTGTCCTCGACTGACCCAATTCCTCTCCAGAATGGATCACCCCCAGGCCCGAAAACCAGTCGGAGAATACCGACACTGCAACCTGCACCCGCAAGTACCTGCACCCGCAAGTTGATTC